AGAGCCGTGCACCCCCATTTTATAGACAGCAAATAGCAAATCCAAGCCATGCCCTCCATTTTACAGAGATTTAACGGGATAAACGTGCTCTGAAAAAGAAGAACAACACGTTGGTTTATTTAATTTGTTCTATATGGTTTTCTGTGATGTTCAACAATGGCGTCCGGTGGAATGAGGAGATCAAGGAAATGTCGATGGAAGAGGACGACGTGGAGTTCCGAAAAAGACGAACCATTCCTGAGGCTGTCCATGCGCTGACCACCCCCCTGGCTGCAAGCAAGCTTTGCGACCTTGCAACGACAGCTTCTCCCTCCTCAAGTCCAGGGCTGGTCCATACAAAGCCTCATACATCAACAAGGTGGTTTGCGTCGTCATGAAGTGGCTCCGACCATCATTCTTTTGCAAGTAAAAGAATCCTGCGCTGGTCAAGCTTGCAGCCATGACTAGATGGCGCACACATTCCCTCCATATTTACAACCTCTCACAAAGAAATAGAAGAAAGCGGGTGAGCTCTCCAAAGTGAATCCAAAGAAAGGGAAGAACAAATGCAAGACGGCTCAAAAACACAGTCTTGGAAAGGTACTGTCAGGGACAAGTAAGAAAGGACATGGGCACCAAAAAAGAAACACAAACACCTGCCTATCGGCAGGCTTTTGTAGCCTGCGCCATCTGCTCTTGAGTATCTATTAAAAGCACTTCCCAATTAATAGAGCTTGGCAGCTGCAATCTGCTCCTCAGTCGCATAGACGGGGTCACCGACATCATCCATGTGTGCGACCTCATCAGTCTCAGTGACCGTTAGGAGCCAGCCATTCTTTTGGTCAATAGCAGTTTGCCTTTTCTGTCCCGGGACGATTTCATAGTGCTTGTCAAAGTCTCCCAAGAAAAGGTATCCGGAATCAATGCGCCGCTTCCAAATGTGCTCAAGCATGTACTGGCGGTGTGTTTTCTCTCCACGAGGCTTCGCGAAGAGGTTCGCATCTTTGCGCAACACATCAACGCCAGCGAGCACCCAATAGTGGTAAGCAAACAAAGCAACGTTAGCATAGAACTTCACGAACATCGCCCGGTTCTCCTCGGTATTATGACAGTGGAAGTTGTCGTACCTCTGACACGAGCGGACCAGGGTGGTGCCTGTCACGTTCGTGACGCCAAGGCGCGTGAAGACATCCGCTGACTGGCACATTTGGCGGGCATATTCCTCCGGCAGTCCATAACTCTGCGAGTCGCAGTAGCAGATGACGATCAGAGCTGCCACATCTTTCCTCTGCCTCAGGTCCGCCAGACGCCTCATCTGTTGGGCGTGTTTTTTGTGCCAGCTCTGCTTGCCATTCATAGGCTGCTCTCTGCTTGGCAGGATTCCGGTGGAGCACGTTCGTGTCAACCCAAGGGTTGCCCACGAATCCGTGGTTGCCGTAGACATCATTGCCGGCATACGATACCACAATGACCGCTGGGGCAACACCTCCCGGTGTGCGACGCCTTCCGTTGTCAAGACAAGCCTCGATTCCGTCGATGATCGCTTCTAGGCCACGGCCCCAATGCAGGCTGTATTGAACACTTCCTGCGCGATCCGTCAGGATCGACGGTCCTGCCTCCTTCAGGTATTCGCCCACGTTGCGCTTGACACGCGTGGTCTTGCCTTCAGAATCCACAGTTTCATCCACTAGTGCCATTGATGAGTCGCCGGCAAAAATGAAATCGACCACGGGTCCCCCCGGGCAAGGTAACTGTGTCATTAAGCGAGCTGGATTGCATTCCAAGAACTCGCGATGCGCTTTGTCGATGCGGCCGAGTGACTTGGCACAGGCGTCAAAAGGATCAGCCCCGTAGATAGCATCCAAGTGGGCACGTCCGTCATGCATCGACTCGACAAGATGGGCAAGAATAGCCGTGCGCTTCAGCAAATCTTTCCAATTCCCGTCATTTCCTGCCTCAGTGGGCTGCGATGATGGAGCCACGTACATCCCAGGATGATTGAGGAAGAAGTCCACGGCATCCGTCTCACATCCGAAGAAAGGCATAGTCATGATGCGAATCAGGAAAGGAAGGCACAAAGGAAGTAGGCAGTCCGTCCCCGGGCACGAGCTTGAGTTAATTGGTCACGGCAACGCCAAAGGCTCGGTGAATCATGTCCGTCATCTGGAAAGTGTAAGTTTCCGTGCGTTTCAATGACTCACCACGACCCTCAGCGTGCTCATGATCTTCACTGCATTGCTTGCTTTCAAATGATTTAAGAATGGGCTCTAAATTGGTACATATCTTCCAAGGCTTCCTTATTGGGACACCGTGTACATCAACAACACCAATCATGCATCCGTCAAACGTGACCTGACTCATTGAATGACGCTGACAGAACGACAGAACGTATTCGAGTTTCCAGTACACGCAATTCTTAGGCAATCTGATGGACTCTCAATGGTTGAATCTCCGCACTGAAGTCTGATTCCATGACATCCTTCAATGGGAGAACCATGAACTCCTTTCTCCACACAAAATTGGACTGAACGGCATATCCCAAGAATATCCCAGGGTTTGATGTTGGCTCGAACCTGAGAGAGGATTTGGCCTTGTTCTTGGGGCCGATCCAGTAATCAATCCTCAACCCAAAGGGAACCAAAGGGCCTTTGAACTTCTCACCGAATCGAAGCGACCAAGGCGAACTACCCTCCCGGGTGTCGACGATATTGTTTGCCATGCATGCATGCCTGGCAGCGTGAGCCCAATATTGGTGGTGTAGACCAGCTTGCTCTAGGTTTACCCTTGTTCCATCGATGACAGACCGAATCGATCTTTCAGCCATAGCATTAGTCTTAGAGACATATGCAAAGCTGGTTTGATGCCTCCATCCTAGCCTCTCGGCAGTCGCGATGAGTTCTGGTGAGTTGTCGGAAAAAATACTCCTACATCATCAGTCGAACGGACAAAATGCTTGAAGGCTGCTATGCATTCACGTGTTGATCGACGTGCGGCCGGATAGACATACCTGAAATCTGTTGCTACATCTTTCACGACCAATGCGACGCGAGCCCCATCGATGTCCATTTCTTCATCGTCACGAATAACGAGATGGTCAGCAGTCAAATGTTGTCCGAAATGGTCCGCCTCCACCTGGGTTGAACCACCCTTGCTATACGATGGACGTTTGGTCATCTTTGCCCTCGAGCAAGCTTGACAAAAGGGGTTCTTCGGGGTATGAGTCAACAGATGCTGAACTGATTGTGCTTCTTCCTTAAGAGCATTCTCTCCCCTATCCCTCTTCGGGTCCAACGGCTTTTCCACCAACCTTTCATCCACTGGCTCAGGATCATCTTCAACAGGATCTTCGCCGATGGGGTTGTCCTCATCGTCCTGGACCTCAATTGCCTCTTCAGCCGGCGACGCGGGCAGAGGGATCATTGGTCGCAGTCCCCTCGACCGTTCGTTCGAACCGTAAGGTTGACCTATGGCGGACATCGCAACACCAGTTGTTGATGGTAAGTATGGAACATAGTCCTCTACTTCAAGTTTGACTTTGGTGCCATCTGGTTTCTTGAAGTATGGCCTACTGTAAGCGGGCCAATGGAAGCTCCATCCTGCATCGATGCAGCGTTGTCCTACCGATACGACGGCTGGGCTATCTTCCAAGACGTACGGATTGATGTCAGCCCCCAACACGGGGACATTGACCCTGGCTTGGTCAGTGGCTTGAAAGACTCCGTTGGCAGTAAGAAGACTTACCGGTTTGGGCGACTGAGACACTTCATCTGAATGAAGCATGTGCCTAGACACAAGATCGTGCGCGCTCCCAGTGTCAGCGATCCATGCAATCTCAGTGGCAGGCACTGTTGGACATGACCTCTTCTCAAAACACCTGGTGCAACCTATATCGGAGTTGCACAGGTACGAACATTCTGCCGGCAAGGACAAAAGCTCGTTCCTAACAGCATTCTGGAGGTGTGAGGCTGCAATGGATGCGTCTTCAGTAGCGACACGAACTGCCTCAGCATGCTCCGGTCGACCTGGTGTAAAGGATCTTCGTTTCTTCTTACTTCGGGGTTGAACGGATCTCCAACTGGAAGAAGACTCAACAGCATGACTAAAAATGTTTGGTTGATCGTCAAAACGGACTCTTTGCGTAACAAAATTGTCAATGTTTTCTGTGTTGTCAAAATCGGTGCACATAGTGTTTGAAGCGGAAAGGACCGGCATGGCCACGCTTCCCAGCGGGCGAGTGATGAGGACGGAGGATCCCTGAGAGACCACTGCGGCCATGACCACTGCTCGTAGGAGGCATACCGCTGCCGGTGCATTGGAAGAAGAAGATTTCCCACCTTTCTTCCGCTGACTCTCCGAGCCAGTTGAATTGTCGGAGCCTGACGATCCTCGTGAGCTGCTTCGCTTCCGAGGTTTCTTATCTTTCTTCTTCTTCTTCTTGTCCTCTTTCTTCGCAGGAACAGTCTTCTCAGGGTGTTGGAACGCACATTCTTTGCCTCGATGGCAATGTCCTGCTTTCCAGAACTTGCAAGTCTCCTTGCGAGAACCTGGTGTCAGTGACCTTGACCGAGACTGACTGCGATCCTTGCCCTTTCCCTTTCCTTTGCTTTTGTCGCGGCCTTTTTCGTGCTTGTAAGGACATGATGATCCGCGCTTGCATTTTCCGGTCTTCTGGAAGTCAAAACACACTCCCTTCTTGTCTTCTGGAGCAGGCATGGTTGTATCTTTGGCCCCGAGCGAACGCTTCGTAGCATCTCGCATCTTCTCAAGCCTCTTCCGTTCAAGATAGGCCCTTGCGGCCGTGACCAGGAAGTCGTATGATCTCTCCTTGCTTCCATCTGCGGCACGGTCGTACAAGGCCAAGTCATGCTCAAGGGGTTTGAAGCGTTTCACTGCCAAATGGAAGTAAGCTTCTAGAACATTGTTTTCTGGTTCTTTCTTCATACCAGCCAGAACACTGTTCCATTTATTGATGAATCCCTTGAGGTCATCGTTGACCATCTTGACGGACATGAGGTCTTCAAGACCATAGATCGCACCATGCTTGATGCTTGTGGCAAAATATTCGTGAAAGCGAAGAAGCAAATGTCGACCCTTCACATTTTTGTCTTCACGAGCACGCAGCTCCTTGAAGGTAGCAATCTGACGACCAAGGTCCCCCTCAGCGCAATTGGTCAAGCTTGCAAGAAGCTTTGCGTCAAGGGTGGCAAAACCTTCTGAATCATCCAAAGCATCAATGGTTTGGGAATCTTTGTACACTTTCCCAACCCAAGTCCTAGCTTCATCTGGTTTGGCTGAAGCCGCAGCAATGTTGTCCCTCACCTTGATCTTCCAATCTCTGTATTTCTCAGGCGTGGGAAACTTGGGAATGAGAATTTTATCAGCCTCTTTGGCTTTGCTCTCACGATCCCTGTCCTTAGACTTTCTCTGCTGCTTCTTCAGTTCCTTGCGGATGATGCGTGCAAGACGCGATGATTCAGAACTTGAGTCATTGGAGTCATCACTCCCTCCTGATGGACTGGGTGACGAAGGTGATGGAGAAGGAGAGCGCTTCTTCCTGCGATCCCTAGAGCGGCCTCTTTTTGGGCTCTTCTCCTTTTTCTTCTCTTTTTCCTTCTTCTTCTTGTCTTTCTTGGACTTGTCATCACCCTCTTCATCAGCATCGGATGGATGAGGCTCTCCACTGCCTTCGATCCCGGGCTTCTCCAACTGAGTGCGAAGGCTCGCCGGAGGCAAAGCTGGGGATGCCTGAGACCCAAGTGGCTGCAATGATGGTGCAGGCACTCGGTTCCCCGAGGCGTTGTCAAACCTCTCTCTCAACTCCTTGATAATTCGACTCTGTTCAGCTAATTCTGACCGAAGTGCATCCTCTCTTTGCTTGGCAGAGGCGCGTTCGTTCTCAACGACGGCGTGTCGTTCGAGCGAAATGCGATCTAGGTAAGCCCGATGTTCATGAAGTTGTTGGTTTTGGTGGGCTTGGTTCATGTCACTCAAACGTTGATTGGCTAAAGCCTCGATTTGTTCCCTAGACTCCTGGACAGCCGCCTTGGCTTGGTTTTCCACTAAGTCCCTAAAATGCCTAGCATCATCTGCCGCTTGTTGCCCATGCTCGGCCAAAATGGCCTGATGTCGCAATTCGGCAATCTGAGCAACCTGAGCTGACCTGTCCTCATTGACGAAAACCGCCTGTTGATGAATCTGTCTCGCATCAACGTTCTGGACATTCATCACAGGAGAAATCTCAGGCTGAAAAGGCGACGGAGCTTGAACACTAGGCAGCAGGTCCCCCTGTGCACTGAGCATCGGTGGCACCATTGGTGCACGCAACTCCAGCGGAACAACAGGGAGTTCAACAGCAGGTGAGCTGGACATCGCAGGCGACGTTGGGACATAGCCTGAGCGTGAGCGGTCACCACGGGAACTATCATCATCAGCCATGGCCTCTAGATAGTGCACTATCCACGGTGGGGTGAGACCACAGCTAGTAGTAAGCACGTACCGCACTTATGGCGATACGGCTGATAACCTGTAGTTACAGGTAAACGACCGAAAACTACCAACAAGTCGCACCTGGTTTTCCTTGAGCCAAACGGTAGGTAAGTGAGACATGTATTAGACATGCTAGCGTGAAACGACAATTTTGAAGAGCCCATCAAATGTAAAAAAGAGTTGCCTTTTCCTGGCCCCCCAGGCTCCCTATTCTGCAGAGGACCTTCCTTTTCCGGGAATAGTACACCAGTTAATACTTCAAGTAGAGACACCCCGGCATTCTCTAAAACGATTGATTGAGAGTAAAACAATCCCAGCCGCCCCTGGCCCAATGTCAGACTGGGAGAATCTCTGAGAACTCACCCTTGCCCCACCATAGTTTTACTGTAACCCACCATAGTTGCTGCTTCGATCAGTGGACCTTCAGATCCGCCCGGTCCGCGGAACCGCGCCTGAGCGGGTCATCGGAGTGGCCTGGCGATGTGAGGAGGTTCGGTCAGAGGGTGGATGGTATCCCTATGAAGTCCACCCTGTGATATCCACCCTGTTTGATAGTCCACCCTGTGAAGTCTACCCTTTTGTATGGTATCCCTATCCCTATCCCCTATGGTTCGTTTTGCTTTTTGTTCTTTTTAACACCACTCTGGCAAGTGTTCAGGAGATTTTGGAACTCGGGTCATGTATAGTCAGATCACTTTCAAAAAAAGTCTGAGACTTTCAGGGTACCAGCATCCGAGACCTGCGGGTGGTCTCTTCTCGTGAGATCTCGGGTTGGATCTTGGGCCCTGAGGTCGAAGACGGTCGAAGCAGACAGGTGACCTGTCTCGGATGCTGCTACAAGTCCAGTCTGACCCAGGTCCAAACCTGGTAAACCTCCGTTTTCTCCGTAATCTCGTCATGTTTTTGTATGACCAATCAACGTCCAGAAAGTTCCTCAGGTCAGTTCCTGACCTGAGAAAGGGGTCGGACTCATGAATGCTCGTGAATTCTACCCAGACACGACTCGCCGAACAATTGAGATGCTTTGAGGGGGCTTTATATATGGCGGCATATATTCCAGTCCCATTAGTCGTGTCTGGGCTAGGGAATCCCCTTGTGTTTAAAAGGACACTGGTGAAATTGGGCGAAGCCCCGTTTGACCCAGGAGGCTTGATCTGTGGTCTCCAAACGAATTCTGGATCACCCGACCTGAGCCAATGGAAGGGTTTGGGGCTCCAAGGTGAAGAATGGAAGTCTGAGGCATGAAGACGTAGGGTTTTTACGTTTTTACGACCGCTCGTGTTCTCAGCTTCCTGGCTCGGATGGCCTTTGGCCACTCAGAGTGGCCACTGGCATAGGGATGTGGCGGCACATCGTCGTCGCATGCTCAGCCCTGGTCGTAGGATGGCCATGGCGCGCCGAGCTGGAAGAGGGATCCTCAGCGAGAGCTGACCCGGCCAACATGACGGCCGAAGAGGAGGTTCCACCTGAAGAAGAGTCGACCCACCATGACGGCTATTTCTGGTGGGTTGAAGGCACGATATGGGGCTTTTGGCTACCTGCCGGAGAATCCGATCGTGAAGCGCCCTGGTTTGGGACCCCAGATCGACCCGGTCGTCTACGAGCAGATGGTGGATGGGCTGGGTACTTCATCGACGGGTTTGGCGTGCAGGCTTTTGGATCTTGGTGGCCGTGGACAGCATGGATCCTTATGGCAAGCTTTAACACGGGCCTGCTGGGTATCTTGACCTACAGCATCCACACATTGACAGGGCCATGCCGAGCGATCGGGCGAGGACTGCATGTGCTTTGCGGCATGTGCTGCTGCAAGCGCCGTGATGGCTTGGAGGAGCACTTGCCCAGTGCCCGCCCGCCAATGGTGGACATAGAGTGGCATGGGCCGAAAACAGGTTGGCCTACGGAGACACGCTATCAGTCGGAGGCGCTTGAATGACGTGATCATTCGACGAGGAGGTCATGTTGCACGGCTTCAACAAGAAGAGAGTCTGCTCAAGCGAATCGACAGTGATGGTTTGAGAGTGAAGTTTAGCAGCATTTCCAGTTGCACCTCACGCCAATTCCGAAGGGAGCTGGAGGAGGTAGGGGTGATACACCTTTGCAGGCAACTTGAATGTCGCGCTGAACATGGGCTTCACATCCAGGAGTTCGCTGGCGTCGACCACGAGGCACTTTTGGACCTACATCGCTACGCGCACGGTTCACCACGCTGGCTTCTTGGGCTACTTGGGCGCGGGCTTTGGCGCGTGGCTGGTCTGGTGGTCCGCTTGGGGAGATGCTGTTGCAGGTCATGCTGTGGGAAAAAGGCGGGCCGTGTGATCAGAGATGAGGATGGGCGAGAACGTCTTCTGGACCCAGACTCCGAATCTGAAGCAGAGGGTGATGAAGCGTCTTGCCAAGGGGTACGAGTTGGACTTGTGCTCGATGGGGAGATGCGGCCGTTGGCACCCGATGGTTGCAGCGACTTGGCCACTCAGGAGGAAACCACCTTGCTCGACGAGGACATCGAAGTCTCAGATGTACGCCCTCCTGGGCCGGGACAACTTGTTCGCATTCCACTATGTGCTCACCATCGTCAAGTTTATCAAAGCGCCGCGGCTAAGAGAAAGTGCGGCGTCCTGACTTGTCATAAAGCCTCGAAGGGGGCTAAGCATGGGGTGCCCCTATGCTATGATCACCTTTGTGAGCAAGGAGGCTCGAGCTTGAGAAAAGACAGCCCGCACCCGAATGGGATGCTTCAAGGACTTCGCAGACGCTTCATAAGGAGATCGACAAGCCGGAGCCGCAGCCCTGCGCAGGAGCACCCGCCAGCTGGAGGACGCGCCCCTGGAGGAGAACCAACCCTGAGTGCTGAGTGCAAGAAAGAGAGTGGGATGGCCCCTATGAGGTCCAACTCGGTCGACCTTGGCAAGGTGATGATCCCCTCGCCACCGAGAGGATCTTTGGACCAGGAAGACGTCATGGGGAAACCGGTCTGGTTGAAAATCAGGCTGAACTATGAGGATGACCGGCACGATTGGGTCATGTGCATGGGGGAGTTGATCGGCTACTCACCCGGAGGTGTGCGAGGTGATCGAAGAGTGGAAATCCACGTGAAGTACCTGAACAACACTGTCATCATCGACCCCAAGTACATCGACGACCTGGTAGAGGTGAAGAGCATTGAGGAGATGGATCCAACCAAGGCACAACAACTAGTGAAAGAAATCCCGCAAGATGCAGCAGGACTTGGATTGGACATCAAGGGCTACATGATCCCTGACCTCTTGGTGCAGCGGTTGGCGGCTTGGGAGGGCAGGAGCATCATAAGTGGGAAGCGCTTCAACGAGCTTCAGTTGCAGGAGGTGAAGACGAGGCTGAAGACTTTGGTGCGGAAGCATAGTGCAGGCTACGTCAAAGGGGAGCTTTGGCCTAGCTGGCCGGCTGAGGCAGAACTTGGTTTGGACAAACAAGTTCATGAGCGTGACTCTGAAGCACATCGAGAGCAAGAAGCACCAAGGACGCGTTCTCGCAGCAGGAGCCACAGCCTTGCAAGAGTGATGAAGGATGAGGATGAGAGAAGAGGAAGAGCAGAGATGGAGACTACGCATGACGGTGATCCAGAAGAGGTAACCGGCGAGCACATCATCGAGGCCTTCATGACAGCGACTGGAGCCGGGCAAACCCCGAAAGAGGCCTTTGACACCGTCCAGATGATCTATGAGGTGGACACGCAGAACATCAACAGTATCGTGAGGTTGTTCATCCGGAAGAACTGCGGGAAACAGAACGAGCAGGTTGAGACGGCGATCAAGATCCTCCGGGAGCTGAACGACTCGAACTCCAGGAAACCCAGAGAGGAGAGTGACAAGCCAGAGGTCCAACCTGACCGCATTAGGCAACCCAGCAGCCGGAGCGTGGCCACGCCTGAGAAGCTTTTCCCAGCTCACTTTGGAGAAAAGCGAGAGGAAGGCAGCCTGATCAGACCTGCAAGTGATGCAAACCAGGCAAACCCCTTGACCGCCAGCGACGGCATTGTGGGACAGCTCTTTGGCATGGGTGGCAGAGTTGAAGATGTGTCGACTCGAGCCGGAGCGGGAGAAGATGATGACAGCCACATGAGCGCACGCGTGGTCCACGCGCTGGAAGGGATCAGGAAGGCCACTGAGGGCGACAAAAAGGGGAGTCCGGGCACCAGGAGCTCGATTGGGTCAGAGGACAGTCTCGATGTCTACCTGGCAAGAGGCTGCAACACCCTGACCGTGGAGGTATGTCCGGACGTGACCGGCAAAGAGCTCTTCGATGCTTTGAAAAGGGCATGCTCACACGCCAAGGCCAAGTTGCAACAGATCGAATGGCCTTGTCTGGTCACAAATGGGATAGCCTATGGTCTAGCAGCAATGCAGCATGGAGGCAAGGATCATGCTACCCTGGCACCATGGCAGTTGAGTGTGGCCCACGCAGTGACCGCCAAACCCAGGGACTTCGACCAGTATGAAGCGCCGAAGGAGGACAAGATTGAGCCGAAGCCACGGTATCCTACGCATTTTGCAACCTGGCTGAAACAGGCGAAGAATGAGATCAAGATGATTGGTTCTGTGCTGGGCCTCGAGCATAAGAGGGAGAGGTACAAGGCGCTGGACCAGATCGAGAAGGCGCATGAGCAGGACTCAGATGTCTGGCCGGAAAACTACTGCTACAGCCTCTGGGAGGAACTCAAAGCTGCGTGGGTGGAGGAGCTACGAGAGAGCAGAAGACAGCTTTGCCGGATTCTCAACACCGATAACCCCCGCAAAGAGGACTTGAAGTTTGTGGCCCTGGCGCCGGATAGTGGATTCCACTTCCCAAGGACCTTCGACCTCACGCACCCTGAAGGGTACTACCAGCAAGTGTGTGTACCGAGGCAAGCAAGGGCATTGAAGGGCATCATCTACGGCCAGCTTCACCACAAGCGTCAGGCGCCCAAGGTTGGTGGCGACACTGCTGGAGGCGAAGGCGACCCTCAAGCCGGAGAACCTGGTGGAGATGATGATCGAGTCGGACGAGGTCGAGATCGCGGAGGTGACAAGAATGAGAAGGAGAAGAGAAAGAGGGACAAGGAGAAAGAGGACAAGAAGGCATACCCCGCGGGCAAAAGACTACGTCCTCGAGAAGCAGCAGAGTCGGTAAAGCATGGACCCCGCACCAAGGAGGGCAAGCCGATTTGTTGGGATGGAGCAACGCACATGGGATGCAGCCGAGGGAAGGAGTGCAATCACGCACACCAACCCATTACCACAACGAAGGGACTGCACTGGACGGTCTTGGCGCAGCTTATCCGAAGAGGAGGCTTGAAGAGTGGCCCTATGATTCAACCAGGTCAAGTCGATGGACGCATTGCGCAACTTCGAGCACAGGCGAAAGCTGAGCACGACGAGAAGGTGAAGGATGGTTCAGGTCAGAAACAGGGCTGGCTACCTCCAGAAGAATATGAAGGAGTCCAGTACACGCAACTCGAG